CTCTTTTGTATCGCAAGCTGTCCAGGGAGAATGGCCGGAACAGTGGAAGAACATATTATGTGACGTGACGTTTTCCTAAAAAAGGGCTGTAACAAATAGTTCCTGTTCCACATGTTCTTCTTCAAGTATAACTTTTGACATTTCCACACAGAGATAAGGGGCTTCGGCCCTCTGCTTGAATCTAAGAGGTCCTGTGATGATGGCAGATGTGCTACCATAGGATTTCTGTGGTTAGGTCAGAAAAGATGAGAGAAATTCCACAGGCACCTGAAATGCTTGGAACGCAGCCCACTGCATGGTTGGTTAGCCTTCTATCACTGTTGAACAATATCTGAGACAAACAATATATAAGGAAGACTTACAGTGTGAGAGGTCTGCCGGCCTCATTGCTTGTAATCTATGGTAAGGCAACCACCATGATGGGGCTTGTGTGGCAGAGCAAAGCTGCTCATCGGGTGGTGGCTGTGGAACCATACAGAAGGAAGAAGGGGCTAGCATCCTAATGTGATAATAACCCCACTGCTCTGACTTCTTCCCACTAGGCTCTAACACCTAAAGGTTCCCTCAGATCCCAATCTCGCCACCATCAGGTGACCAGGCCTCCAACACACGGGGTTTGGAAGTCATCCAAGATTGAAACTTTATACCCACCCGTGCAGAGAACCCATAGAGAAGAAGCTTGAGATGAGACATGTTTCCTCAGCTCTACGGCTCCTGTCACCCACTGTTCCGGTGCCAACTGTACACACTGATGATCAGACAGAACCAGACCTCCTCAAGTTCGTGACTCACTGGAACTACTGGGGCTGTTATGGCTGTCACTAAGAGTTACTAAAGTTTGGGTGGGGGCAGATCTCTCATACAACATATACACTGAGTTCCAGAAGTCTCCAGAGGGACGTGAATGCCACCCACAAATATCTGAAGATGTGATGTGTACAGGAGGTAGGCTTGGTGTATGTAGCTGTGACAAGCAGCACTTAGAGCCCAAGGCGGCGGGGGGAGGGGGGTTGTAGAGGGACAAATTTGGTGCTTCACAGACGCCTTTTCTGAGGACAGAACTTTCAAATGAGTCACCTGACAGTGTGCTTGAAACTGGAGTTTCAAGTGGAAGATGAATGGCAACCTTGGAGGACCTGAAGAAAAGCCTAGCAGATTTCCAAAGATACATGCAGTTCTTAAAAGTCGAATTTTTTTATTATGTTTATTTTAGTGTGTGTGTGTGTGTGTGTGTGTGTGTGTGTGTGTGTGTGTGTGTGTGTGTGTGTATACACATGCGAGCAGAGGTATATGTGACAGTCAGGGAATTGATTCTCGCCTTCCACTATGTAGGTCCTGGGGATTGTACCCAGGTTCTCAGGCTTGGCAGCAGGCATCTTTTCCTGCTGAGCCATTTCACTGGCCAAGATATCATTTTTTCTATATTTTTAAGTTTTATTTTGTGCACATGAATATTTTGCCTGTATGGATATAGGTGTACCACATGCATGCTTGGTGCCTGCAGAGTTCAGAAGAAAGCATCGAATCTCTTGGAACTGGAGTTAGAGATGGTTGTGAGTCATCATGTGGGTACTAGGAAACAAACCCAGGTCCTCTGCAAGAGCAACAAGTGCTCTTAACCTTTGAGCCACCTCTCCAATCCCCAAGACATAATTCTTAATAAGTAAAGATAAAGAGGCTCTGAAGATCACATATTTAGCGAACTCTTTTTAGAAGAGATAAAGAGGAGATGAGGCCTTTCATGTCCAAGAAGGCTGGAGAAGCAGGGCGGGCCACTTACATCGGAGCTGTTTAACCAGCGACACTATGCCACGCCCCTCTCACCTGAAGACCTCTTCTTTCCCACTTAAGGGCCTTTCCTGATTGTGAATTCCTTTGCTTCCTTCACACCTCACATCCCATGGCTTGCTAGATCACTCCACTTTCCTCTCCACAGCAAGCGTCCTGCCTCTGTTTCTTCTGCTCCATTTGCAACACCATTGACTTTCTTCATACCATTGAGGCCTCTCCTCTGGAAGTCTGCAACAACAGCCCTCTCAATGGAGGGAAGGCTGTCATCAAGAGATTGTGTCATATCCCCCCCCCCCCCCCCCCCCCCCCCCCCCCCCCGTGTGGCAGTGCCTCTTTTCAAACTTATTGCACTTAGAACAGAGGCCATTTCTCAAGCACAAGAGCCGTTGACGGTGGGGCTGGTGTGCTTAAGGCCCTGGGTTCAGTTCCCAGCATTGTTAAAAACTTCCATGATCAAGTAGATAATGAAAGAGAAGAAGAGAAAATGGAAAAGGGAAGAGAGGATTCTCTCTCTCTCTCTCTCTCTCTCTCTCTCTCTCTCTCTCTCTCTCTCTCTTTCTGAGACATGGTCTCACCGTAACCCAGGCTGACCTGGAACTCTTTTTGTTCCTCCTCCTGCCTTAATGTCTGGAATTCTGGGATTCATAGATGTGCACTATCATGCCTGGCTTCTTGCACTTGTTTCTTAAGATTGTCATAATATGGCTGGCGGCGGTGGTGGTGGCCGGCCCACTGCTTTAATCCCAGCACTTGGGAGGCAGAGGCAGGTGGATCTCTGAGTTCAAGGCCAGCCTGGTCTACAGAGTGAGTTCCAGAACAGAGAAACCCTGTCTCAAAAAACCACACACACACACACACACACACACACACACACACACACACACACACACACAAAGATTGCCACACTATACCGTGAACATTGTGGTATAAAACAAATATCAATATATTGTTTCCCAGACCTCGGGAATAGACTTCCAATTTCAAGGTGCTAGCAAAGCTCTATTTCTTCTGAAGGCTGCAGGGAAGAATTCCTCCTTGTCTTTCCTAGGTTCTGGGAGCTCCTAGCAGTCCTCAGCATTTCTTGGCTTCTGGTTGCATCTGTCCAGTCTGTCTTCATCTGTCCCTGGCTTCCTTTCTGCATATGTGTGTGCCTGGACTTCTCTCTCCTTTCTCTCACAATGGCACCAGTCATTGGAGTTAGAATGAATTCTAAGTCAGTGTGACTGCATTTTAACTTATTTTTGCAAAGACCTTATTTCAAATGAGGCCGCATTCACAGGATCTGGCAGATAGGACTTCAATGTATTTTTTGAATTAAGGACTTCTTTATTTTTATTTGTGTATGAGGATTTTCTTGCATGTATGTATATATATACATATATACGTGTATATATACATATATGTGTATATATATACATATATATATATATATATATATATATATATATATATATATATATATATATATGCCTGAGGAGGCCAGAAAAGTGCATAGGATCCCATGGAACTGGAGTTACAAAAACTGAGTGCTGGTGTTCTGAGAGAGCAGCAAGTGGTCTTAACCCCTGAACCACCTCTCAACCCCTTGAATGTATGTTTTTTTTGTTTTGTTTTGTTTTTGTTGTTGTTCTTTAAAGATTTGATTTTTATTTTCTGTGTAGGAGTGTTATGCCTGAGTGTATGTCTGTGCACCAGGTGTGTGCAACTGTCTATAGAGGCCAGAAGAGGGAGCGGAATCCTTGGGAACAGGTGTTACAGATGATTATAAAGTGGTTGTGAGATGCCAAGTCACGTAGATGCTGGACGTTGAATGCAGGTCCTCTGGAAGAGTGGCCAGTGCTTTTAACTGCTGAGCCATCTTTCCGGCCCTGGATGTGTCTTTTTTTTCCTTGATACTCAATACTTTACAACTACCACTGTTGGAAAGTGCCAGAACAACAATTTAGCATAGGGAAGGTATCTCGTTTATTAAATAGCTCTGGCCGAAGTGAACAGTTTTGAGAAAGCGGGAGGTAATGTTCAATAGGGCCAGCCAGAGGGATTTAAAAAATACAAAAGCATACATAATCAAAGAATAGAATTTTAATTTCCTGGCAGCTGGATGCAGGAGAATATAGGAAGTAAAGCTAGGAGGTTTAGGGAAGAGGATATCTCAGTAATCCAAAGGTGAGATTCAAGATATTGAGTTAGACTGTGAGCCCCAGAGGCTCGTGAATCCTGTTGCAGAAATAGCCCAGGGCCTTTAGCCAACAGCCTACAAAACTGTTGTGTGTGCGCGTGTGTGTGCGTGCGTGCGTGCGTGTGTGTGTGTGTGTGTGTGTGTGTGTGTGTTCAACACATTTGTTAGTAGGCTTGTAGCACTAGGAATGGAGGGGGCAAACTGCAGTAAGACACCTCTCCTCCCCCATGGCCTGAGTTAGTGGGTCCTGAAACAGGGCGGAGGTGACTAGGAACAGCAGCTAAGCAGTATTTCAAGTCAGGCTTCCAAAGAGCTGGAGGTGTGTGATTCAGTGGTACAGCGGTAGACCGCATCCGCAAGTCTGTCGCATCACAGGGCACCAGTTGGTGACAGACTGAATCCCTCATATTTAGACCACCTGCCACACGTGGTTTACCATAATAAGTATTTCTCTGCCCTCAGAAAACAGGGCGAACAAAGCTGTTCAGCTTTGTGTGGTCTCTAGAGCACCGCACAACAGGACGCGCTCAATAAAACTCCCCATAAAGCAGTTCGTGAATGAGTGAATTTGGATATTCACGCAAAATCAAGATTCCCCGGAGCCAAGCTCTGGCTTTTAGCGCGTTTCAAAAGGCCTGGCCCAAAGTAAGCGCCTCCCTCGAGCACTTGTTGAACCAAACAGTGAATCTGCTTCCCTTGGTTCCTCCCAGGCAGGGAGGTCTGGCTTTGGCCAAAGCGCCGACCGCGTTGCGGTTACATTCTTACGTAAGAGTTAATGAAGCCTCCCCGCCCTCCGGACCCCTCCCATTGCAAGGACTCAAGGGAAAGAAAATAAGCGCAGTATTTACAAACACTCGGTTTCGGTGGTCCATTTCAAAATCAACCCCAATCTCGGTTCACCACAAAGATCTTAAAATATCACTGTAAAGCTCGGTGTGGGGCGCTGAGGGGGCGGCGCGCTGTGGATTTCGGGGGAAGCGAATGGATGGTGTGGATTAGGCCTGCGCGCCCGGCATCCGTTCCGAGCCCCTCATACCGCCCCAGTGCCCTGGCTGTGAGGGTGACAGCGGCCCCTGAAGGTGACTCGAGCTCCACGCGGTGCCCGTGAGGTCCCCGTAGGCTCCTGAGCAGGGAAAGCAACGGTACTCTTCTCCAGGCCCAGCTGCTCAGAGCCCAAGGCCGATCGCCTTTGCAGGGCGCCCCTTCCCGGGTCCCAGCTGCCCAGAGCCCGGGGCCGATCGCCTTTGTAAAACGCCCCTACCCCGGGTGCCCGGAGCCCGGGGCCCGATCGCCTTTGTAAAACGCCCCTTTCCGGGTCCCGGGTGCCGGGAGCCCAGAGCCGATCGCCTTTGTAAAACGCCCCTGCCCGGCTCCCAGCTCGCGTTTGCAACGGCCTTACATCCCGGGCGCGGCCCCCAAGGGCTGAAGATGGCGACGCTGCCCGGCTCCCGGTGGCCGCGAGGGGCCGCGGTGCTGCGCGCACGGCCCGGCCCGAGCGGCTAGAGCGGCGCCTGGGCCCGCGGCCTCCTCCCGCTGCCGCGCCCCGCCCCGCGCCCGCCCCTCCCCGGGTCCGGCCGTGCCCCGCGTCGCGCTCCCCCGGGATGGCCCGCGCGCCTCGGCGCTGCGTCTCGGAGCTCTCGGCGGAGCGGCGGCGGCCGCGCTCGGGGGGGCGCGCGGCTGCGGCTGCGGCGGCGGCGGCGCGGCGCTTGAAGGGGCCGCGTCGGGCGGAGCAGGGCGCCGCCAACATGTCGGATACGAAGGTAAAAGTTGCCGTCCGGGTCCGGCCCATGAACCGAAGAGGTGAGCCGCTTTCCCCCAGCTCCTTTTGCATTTCTGCCCCGGCCGAGGGCGGGGGTGGGGGAATGCAACTTTGCAAACTGCTGGGCGGCGGGGGTCGGGGACACCGGGGTGGCCCGGCGTGGCCCCGGGTGGAGGCGGCGCCCAGGCTCCGGCCGCGGCCACTATGTGCCCGGGGCGCCGTCTCCTTGCCTGCCGGGACGGAGCCACGCGCGCCGGCTGCGGTCGCCGATGCTCCACTTTGCAACGTCTCCCTGCCCCTGTGCTTTCAGAGCTGGAACTGAACACCAAGTGCGTGGTGGAGATGGAAGGGAACCAGACGGTCCTGCACCCTCCTCCTTCCAACACCAAGCAGGGAGAAAGGTAAATCCCACCCCGCCGGCTCCTGCCAAGTTTGAGCCAGGAAAACCCGAGTGCGCTCTCCCATTGTTAGCGAGGGTGGCTTCAAGTTTGTCCCACGCTCATATGGGAAGCGGTTGCAAGTGCAGGGTCCCCTCCTCTCTCTGTGTCCCTCTCTTCGTGTCCCTCTCTTCTTGTCCCCTCTCATCCAGAGCGGTGTCCCCTAGGCAGGGAAACCTGGCCAGAGTCAGCACTCCTGACTTCCAGGCTCCCAGAACATGAAGGGACCGGATGGAGCCCTGGAGATGTGTAGAACAGGCCACATTTTACAGATAGTAAAACCGATGTCTGAAGCATGCAAATGACCAACCCAAGGTCTTATTGATGGAGTCTAGCGCCTGCTAGTCTTACGCTGGCTTATTTGCCCCCTTTAGCAGAACTGCTTAGGGATGTTGTATGTGAAAGGGGGGCCGGGAGCCGATAAATTAATCACCCGGGTACAAGGAAGGCTAGGTCTTTAAAAGCCTTTAGGTTGTTGGAGGCGGTGAGTTGAGATGGTGTCTGAAAGCAAGGATTTTGATTTTCAAGGAAAACAAATAGAGCCCTGATCTGGAGCTATTTAGACGCAGGGATGGGGAATGTCTAGAAGGGGGCTGCATTTTCTAGATGTCAAGGCATTTGCATTTGAAAAGTCGTAACTGTGGGATCCTTATTAATTCTTCTGTGTTCCATGCAATGGTATGGGAAAATGCCCTAAAATAATGTGAATATTTGGCATTTTTCTGGTAAGCCCCTGAGAAGAAATAGGTTGGAATTCATTTAGCATGGCATTGTAGGAGCTTGTAAAAATAGAAAAGAAAACCGAGATTCAAATTCAGCTTGGAAATGAGTATGAGTTTGTCTCTGAAAATCACCTGTTGATTGATGCGCTACATAATGAGTGAATTTTGCTCTTCAGAGTTTCCTTCAGACAGACTGTGAAGTAGGGGCTGTTACTTTATTGCTAACCCAGGCAGCTGCTTCCTTCTATAATGGAGCTGCGTTACAGCCCAGCCTTGCTAAATTTGGGGTAAGACTGTTATGAGGGAGAAGATTAGGGATTCTTTGCTTTTAGTGTTGAGCCTAGCGTGTTTCATTCACTTTGCAAACATTCTGCTTTTCCCTGGAGATTCTTATAGTGACATTTAATGGCTAAGTTATTTTAAAGATGTGTCAAATACTTTTATAGAAATGGATGTATCCTTGGACAGTATTTTTAGACATGTTAAAATATTTACAGTATATTTAGACATATGGATAGTAGTGTAGGTGGTATATTTTATGGTGGGCATAAATAAATTTGTTGAGTAAACTATTTACAGATTTAATAGATGCCTCTATCATATATCTTTTTTTTTCAAAACTGGATCTTGTTATATTATTTCAGAAGACTATTACTTTGGCTCTGGTTCTTCAAGGCAGCCTGGGGAACAGGTGGACTATTTTATTTCCTTTTAGGAAGCTAAGGCTTCAATTTCACTTTATGGCTTGGTACCCAGTTATCACTCATCCCTATTCTTTACATATTTTCAATCATGAATGTGTTTGTTTGTGTGTATATGTGTGTGAGTGAGTGAATGTGTTCATTCATTCATTCGTCCGCTCATCCATTCATTCTGAGGTGCTGGGGATGGAGCCCAGATCCACGCTGGGCATGTGCTCCCAACCACTGTCATCGGCTCTGCTGGCCACTCTTAAACCCTAAGGAATGCTACTGTCATCTACTGTTGAGTGAAACGAAGCCTCATCATTTGTGTATAGAAAAAGACTTAGTTTTGTGGAATTTGAAGAGAATTGATAACTCTGGATAGTTGGTGGTAAATGCTAAAAATATCATTTGATCATTCTTAGGGCCACTGTATTAGATCTTTTAAGTGAAGATTTGTAGAGTATGATCTGGGCATTTATCCATTGGCATGCTTACTTGGGTAGACCCTTATCTGGAGCTATAAGAATTGCATGGAACTGTGGGGTGCTCTATTGTTCTGGACTGACAGATTCGATTTTCCATGTGGCAGATGGGCCATCTCTGAGTCTGCCCAGGTACTTACCAAGAAACACAACAGGGCTCTGTTCAGGTCAGGATGACTGTCTTTGCCGAATGAAGACACCAAGTGCATTTGGATGTCCACTCTGCAGCTGGTTTCGTATTTCTTCCAGGAACTTCCCCTTAAAGCAACAGTGCATTTAAAAATAGAAACAATTCCTGCCTTGGACTGTGGCTTGGGAATCACATCTGTGCTTTATGGTATATTTGCAATTCATGTCTGTCGATCTCCCCCCCCCCACACACACACACCCATAGAGCTCAGACCAGGACAAGGGTGAGTGGGTAAAATACTGAGAATGTAATTAAATCTTCCGGGAATTCCCAGGTTTGAAGTGTAAGAAGTCCTTCCATAAATATTGGCAACTTGTCAGGTTGAGAAGTAGTGTTTTTCTGAAGTTGCAAAAAATTACCCATGCACTCATAGAAACTCCGAATGACCGGATCAAAGTTTTCAGTCTTACCAGTAAGAACAACGGAGAATAAATACATTGACTTCTAGGAAAGTGAACAGGCTTCACTTTCATACCTTTCCCTTTAGGGGATAGCATTAGGGGAGACCAAAAGATCAGAGGACTTCTCAGCCAAAGATGTTTGGTTTGATGCTGAAATTCCAGCATTATAACTCTGCATGGGGGCAGGTCCTTAGCTGGCCTTTCAGACCATTCATCCATCTGTAGTGCTAAGACTTGTACGGCTTGTTTCTTGTCATGCCGTGGTACTGCTATTAGAGACACACTTACAAAGTTCCTCCCAGTACCAGGCTTGGCCCAGGAGGCCTCACCATTGTGAGTTGTGGGAAAAAAGAGGAAAACGTTTTACATGCACTGTGGTGATTGCAGAGGTGTGTGTTTGTGTGTGTATACTCCGTATTATTTGTCAGTTCCCTGATCATGTCTTGCTGTGCACTCCCTGAGGGCAGGTACCGTGCACTGCTTCTCCTTGTGCCCAGGTCCCCACACAGCCCCAACACATAACAGCTGTCATATGACAAGGGCTATAGTTGCCACTCAAGGTAGGCAGCCTGCTGAGGTAGCTGGCATCAGGCTGCTCTTACGTAGGTTCACTTTGCAAGATGAGGCCAAAGTCCTTCATGAAGGAAAAAGTATTCCTGCAGATTTCTTCTGGGCAGTTCTCTGTGTAGGAATACAGGGTGAGGAGTGGGATGCCCTGGCAAGGGAATTTGCCTTGGGTGGGGATTGAATGAGAATCCCCAGTTTATTCATATGGGTGAAATATGCTAGGCAGAATCTTCTCAGCTCTGCTGGTACCATCCTTACCTTCCCACTGTCTTACTCTATTTTATTTTATTCACTTTGGTTTTTATGAGACAAGGTCTCATGTAGCTCATACTAGCCTTGAACGTGCTAAGTTGTGGAGGCTGTCCTTGAACTCTCGATCCTCTGCCTGTGTTTCCCACGTGCTGGATTACAGGCCTGTGCTACCATGTCTGACTCTTTTCTCACTTATTTATGATTCATTTTTCTGAAAGTATAGGACTATATCTGTACATACACACAGAAGCGTGTATCCTGCTTCTCTATATTTAATATTAATATTTTTATGTCTTTTAATAGGAAGACTTACTTGTTTTTACATCTACCCTGGATGATAGTAGTAGCTTTAAAAGATATAGGTCGTTGGGATATGGATCTGATTCTTACAGCTATCACCAACATAATATAATAAAACACATTTCTGAGATGTTGTTAAAATTTTATGTCAGTACATTGGAAGTGAAGCATCACAGTGATGTTCACGTCTATTCCTAGCTGAAAAGGAAAAAGGGCAGTCTGACTGGGACTTTGATCCCAGCTCTTGGAAAGCAGAGGCAGGGGGATCTTTGTGAGTTTGAGGCTAGCCTGGTTTATATAGTGAGTTCTAGACTAGTAAGGGTTAATGATGAGATTCTGTCAAAAAAAAAAAAAAAGGCAAACTGGGTAGAACATAGGCTCTTAGTAAGGGAGCATCGACATTGTTTGTTTCTTACCCATTCTTCCTTATTGCAAGGTGCACAGTGGACCATGGAAAATGTATGAACACTTCTTAGCCAACTACAGAGTGTTCCAGTTCACGCATCATGTGATGCATGTTTCCAGAATGGTTCCTCTGTTAAGAAATTTTAAGTATTATTGACAGCCATACAAAATTAGAAAGACAGGTCCCTAAGAGTCAATAGGGTTCCACATTATGAAGTCATTTTGAGGACCCGAGTTCTGGTTTGTGTTGTTTCTCTCTCTCTCTCTCTCTCTCTCTCTGGCTTTATTACAAGTTGGTTATATGAGTGCAAGGTGAATTTAGGTTTCGCTAGTCCAGGAGGGCACATTCTTCTCGCCTGATAGTAGGAGAATGACAAAGTAATATTTTCACCAGCATGTCAACATGTCTAATTTGTTTTAAAATAAGGTTCATTGAAATCAAAGACTAAAAGCAATTATCATCTGACTTAAAGTGATTTAAAAATTATTTGGGGGAACTCAGTATGGTGGTTGTTAACTGTGATTCCAGCACCCAGGAGGCCAAGG